GGGAGAAAGCTGAGGTTTGCTAAATTACACAAGAACTGGACTGAAATTCAGTGGCAACAAGTTTTATGGAAGGTCTGGAGAGAGGTGCAGCAGTGAGTGCCTACAGTTATCTATAAAAAACGGTGGATCTTGTCAAAGAACCATCAGATTTTGAGCCAACATGCAATACCATTTAGAAAGCATCTGATTGGCTGATTGACTGGCTTTGTTTTTCAGCATGACAAAGATCCCAAACTGCAGTAAAAGCATTGAAAAGCACACAGTGGAACACAATCAGTCATGGATTGGCCTCTCCAGTACCAGGTCCTCAACATTATTGAAGCAGCAAGTGATAGAGAACAAAAGGCAAACAACATCCAAAAACGAGCTTTAAATATACTTCAAAAAGCCTGAAAACTATTCTTGTAGACTAATTAAAGAAATTACAAGAAAACTTACCTACGAGAGTTCAGGCTGTGCTGAAGAATAAAACTGGTCATACCAAATATTGACATTCAAGCTTGTACAAAATCTGATTTTTTTCCCTTATATGCTGTATTTCCATGTATTTTTGCACATATTTCATTAAATTGTAGCCATTTCTCATTTCCAAGCAAAACATAAAGAGTTGAAGGGTGGCTCAAAACATCTGCACAGTACTGTGTAACAAATAACAAAACAAGTTAGGAAGCTAGAGTGAGTAAGAACTGAGACAGTGTGTTGAAAAGGAGGTTATATTTGACACGTGTATGTTTTTGGCCTACAACCTCTGTGTAAACAAAAGAAACATAAAAATCAAATGTAGGCATCATTAAAGGTTTGCTGGAAGCTGTTTATATTACAGATCCCACATACAAAAATTACTAAGAGGAGAATGGAAACAATAGGAAAAGTGAATTGAACTCAGTAAATATACTAATTAGTAATAACAACTCGAAGAAAATGAATGGAAAAAGTTGACATCACAATGACAAGCTTAAAGTGAAAGAAGGGCAAGTAGATGTTCTGTATAGGAAGCAAACGTTACAAAAGAAACCCAGAAAATTAAATGACAAAATGTGACTGATGACTTCAGTAAAAAAGTCAGCTTGTTCCTGAAAACGTGATTTAGATAAGTCTGATTTTACCTTCCTCAATTTAATCCATTTTTTTTCACCTGAGTAAATTAACTTTTTTTTTAAATTCACATTAAATGTAAAGTGCAAGTAAGCAGACTTAAACTGCAGCTGCAGAGATAACATCAAAGAAAATAGAAAGTGATACAATCCAAGAAGAGATCATTAAGTGAAAAAAAGCTCACATTATCATATAGACAAGCTGTAAAATGTGTCTTATTCTATGAAGCTAGTGCTCTGTCAAAGGCACGTCTTCTCTGTATACGTGTAATTACATGACAAATGAATACTGTCATTTCAAGATGTAAACATGATCTGAGGGATTTTCATGACATCGCATACAGAATGAAAAAAAGGAATAAAGCTTAAATCTTGTTCTCATTGTCTCTGTCCGCGCTCCTGCTTGAAGGCTACGATAAACTTCCATGCTTCGACGTAATGGGACAGGAGGATCTCTTCTGGGAAGAGCTCTTCCACATCACCGGGAATGTCCATGTCTTTGCGCTCCATGTAAGACCCCAGCGTGTCTTTCAAGCTTTAAAAGATGAAACAAGCAATTTGAATCAAATCTGCCACTGCTAGAGTAATGCATATGACAACACAATGAATAAACATGAATTTTTACCCCCAGCCAGGCCTGAAGGTATCAGTTGCATTTGGCTTTTTGAGGAACAGCACCAGGAACTCGTGCATCTCCAGGAGGAAAGTGTCAGCGCTGTTTTTAGAGAAGAAACCAATGAGCAGCCTGTGCTCGTCCTCACCCAGGGCCTGTTTGTACTTCTCTGAAACTCCTACAAACGGATCCTGATGAACACAAAAAAACATGTATAGGCATATTGATAATAATAACTACTGAGACCTCTGTACTAGATCACATCTATGCATAGAATAATACACCTCTGTGTCTGTGATGCTTACCCTCTTGAGGCGCAGCATGTTTTCTGATTTAAGTGAGGCCAGCAGCTGCCACAGTGCCACACAGTGTTTAAGGCAACACATGCCAAAGGCCTGTGGGCAAAACAATGTGAACGTGAGGCATAGAGAACATAAAGTAATTAAGATCTTGCCAGATCTTAAACTCAATGCTCCTAACTAGCAACAAAATTAAGTTTCTTAAAGCACACTTGGCACATTTCTGTTCTGTATAAACAGTATCCACATAGTAGTCAGAAAGAAAGAGCAACAGTATAAAATAGTCTCAGATAGGCCAACCTTGAGGATGTGCTGAGCCATCTGGTTTCCCATCTGCAGCACCTCCTCCAGGTAGGAGGACAGCTGCATATGAGGCTCTCCCCCAGTCATTGCAAGGAAACCAAGGGCCACTTCCAGCATTGACAAAGCGTCACACACCTCACTGTAGGAGTGGAGCTCTCCAGCCACAGCAAAGAGAGTGAGAGTCTGAAGAGGCTCCTGTTGGCATACATCATAATGGCTGTTATCATCAGAAGCATGTACAGTATATACAATTTGTAATCTCTGATAAATAAATGCTAAATCCCAGCATGTTACTACCTATCACAACTTACTTGTTTGACTTTTTCTTTTATGACCTTGAGGATAATCTCGTAGTTGCGATCGTGTCTATTCACTAGTGTAGGAAGGCCCTGTGGATGAAGAACAAAGAGGGGGAAACTGTGCATTAACAAACTGTGCTTTGAATCGTCAGCAAAGCTGCTTTGCTCCTGATTCTCATTGGCTCACATTGAGAGTGATGAGAGGCTTGCCCAGCAGGAAGCGTGAGATGATCTGCTGCTCGATCTTAGGCAAGTCATACTCGTGAAGGGTCTCCTGGCCCCGCTCGATGCTGTACTGGGTGTTGGACAGAACCAGCGGCATCACATCCCTCTCCAGCTCGTAACGAATCACATGCAGGTCAGTCAGATCTGCAGGGCTTACTTTGTAGCTGAGAGAGGAATAAATAGAAAGTTTACCCAGGAGACAGTGTCTCTATATTTTAGGATTCTACTACTCTGACTCTCTTTTCAGTCTTCAGCTCTTTCCAGCTATAATTGAGATATCATAATGTTATTTTAATCCATCTATATCTTATAATTTTTGCTAACATGCCGTATGAAGTGTAGAACAACTTCAGACACAGTCTTCTGAAAGCCAAAGCATACGCAAGTGGGAAAAATGTGGCATGAGCGCCCCCACCTGGTCTCCTCTCCAGTGTGCTTGTCCACACAGTATATAATGTCATTGTGCAGCGCAATTAGGTAGCTGACGAGAGCTGTAGAGCACAGGCCTGGGCCGTGTCGCCGTGGCAACAGCACCCTGAAGTCACTGTTGAGGTCCAGGTCATTCTGGCAGAACTCAGCCGGGATCTTAATCTCACCTGAAAACATTTTAAAATGACGTTAGAACGAGACGTTGGACAGGTCAGCGCTGGTGTAACAGTACTGCTGGTTGCTTACCATTGGTTGCCAGCGATACTCTGAGCTGATTCCAGGTTGCCAGGAAGATTCTGATGTGTTTTTCGTACCAGGTTTTGAGCGAAACTGCATACAAGAAAAAATCAAATAATTAATCCCTAGTGTAAAGATGTCAGCCGCGCAGGAGACCGGCAGTTCACACGGTACAGAAAATTAGAACATCAACATCAGCGGCGTTCACGTGTGGAAGAGATTTTCCTCTTTATGAATAATCAATCATTGTCTCCGTCCAGGTTAAAACAACTCACTCCTTGGCAGGCAGGTTCTTAAATTGCATTCTGCCAGCTATTTAACAATGACATTTCCGAGAACAGAGGTAATTAGGAGTTGCATGGAACTTTGTATCTCTTGTGCATGAGTCACGTAGTTGAAAAGGCTGAGAAGCACTGATGTAGACAGTTAAGTCAATACCTGCTTTCTGATTGCGGAGAAATTCAGCGATGCTGCCTTCCGTTAGCTCAGCGATGTTCAGAAACTTCTTCACTAGATCCCTCTGGAGTGCCAGGATTTCAGGAAGGTGCTTCACCAGTCGGATTTCTGCTTCCTAAAAATAAATCATCAGTAATATTAATAATAATAATGATAGTAGTAGTGTTTTCAGATAAATTCCTGTTACGTACTCTTTGGGAAACTGTGGTTAAACTTTGTCTTGTAAGAGCTGCTTATTTGTATATGTTATATATGTTTTTTTTTTCAATATAGCCTTTTTTTGGCAAAAAAAGAAAAAAAGAAAATAAATACAGGATCCATGGAAACAAAAAAAAAAAATAACGCACTTACAAAAAGTACAGAAACTATACTGACGGATATGGATTAAAAGCTCTGAAACAGATTAAACTAGTGATGTGCGATACCACTGATTTTCTTTCCGATCCGATACCAAGTAATATTCAGGGTGGTATCGACGATACTGATCCGATACCGATACTTTGTACAAAAACGTATTTTATTTATTGCATCTCAAATTCTAGCGTCACAATGATTACAGGACATCAGATTACTTGTTCTTATCACTTAATAATGCAGAGTTCATCATATAGAAATAAAAGAAACTGAAGTTGTGCGCTATTTGAACACCTTGCCTGCCTGCAGCACTAAAGGACTCCGTGAGAGACGTCACCTGTCCCTCTCCTCCTCTTCAGTTCGCCTCAACATACGCTCGTCATATTCTGTGATATGATTTACTCTGAGGTGTTTGATAAGGTTAGTGATGTTGCCACAACCATACATGCCAACCCTCCCGAGACCGGGTCCTCAGGTGGAAGCAGCCTCCGAATTTGGACACCCCCGCTGTTTCCGGGCCGGCCAATAATAACGGTGACATTTAACGTATTTTATCCAATAAATAAACCCTGTAAAATGTATTTATCTCCTCCCCCCCCCTCCAACAGCCTTTTTGAATGTCTCCCTAGTATGGCCACAACACCTCACTCTTGGAGCACTTTTTTGCCACATGTACCGCAAACCACGTCTCAGCTGTTTGTGGAGGTAAAATAAGTCCGCACATGACTCCAGTTACGCTCAGCCATTGTTGTGAGTGGGGCTGCGAGACATTTATACAGCCGTATTTCGCACATGACTAGGAAGTAGTTCCTTTGAATGTAGACAATCCGTTTCTTTCCACTGTGTTCCTGTTAATGATAAACTACAAATTTACTCTAAATGACTAAAATATCGATATTTTAATGTGAGAATTGATTCTAGAACATAAATGATTGGTATCGGAGGAACCGATATTTCAGGATCGATCCGCAGATCACTAGATTAAACCCAATGCAGTCGATGACACAATGTAGGAGGATCACCGACAGATTTTTTTTTTTTCCTTTCTTCAACATTACAAATGCATTTGATGTTGTAATTTTCTCACCCTATGGAGGAATCTCCAGAGGACCGGCAAGGTGTCTTTGCCATCATTTTGCTCCACGATGTGAGTGAGGCTCAACAGAGACACCTTCTCCCGGCAGCTCCACACGGCAGAAACATGGATCAGAGATTTTGGAGGAAGTGAAGCCAAGAAGAGCTGAGGATCTCCAAAAATTAGCTTCATAATTGGACTGGCAGAGATACGAGAGTCAGCCCGGATAAATGTGTTCACTTCCATTAGCTGTCTATCCAAGTGCTGTGGAAGAGCAGGTGACATGTTATGTTATGCATAGATCTTGTATAAACATATGAGGCAAGTTGTACTGTTCTGGGGAAAAAAGGAGTAAAACTTTGAGTACCTTCAGATGTGGTGTGATAATGGCAGCGCTCATTTCAATTTCCCAGCCGTTTCGTGCTTCTTTGGTCGAGAGAAGATTGTCATACTGAACAGGCCCTGAAAGGAGATCAAGACTATTAAAAAATCTTTTACTATGACTATTCTCAGTCTTTACAAATCTATAGATATCTTTAAGCCAGAAATCCATATATTGACTTAAAAGCTCAAATTTGTGGCCTCTAGAGAGCACACTTTCTCTCTTCTATGCTGGACTATACTGGACAACTATTCAAAGTCCAATCGGATTGTTTGAGCCTTGTTATCAAAATGCTTCCGTAATTATTCACACAGGACTTCACTGGTATCTTATATTTGTAGAGAGCTGCAGTATTAGTGTAGCTTTTACTTACATCTTTGCTGCTGGTGTGTCTCCAGGAGGCTGTTGATGACCAGGTGAACGGTGCTGATTGTGTCGTCTGTCCCCTTACCCAGACTTCTGATGAGGTGTTTCATGTCCTTTCTCAGATGAGCGAGTAGAAACTGTCCTGCGTCTTGGACTTG